CTTAAAAGATAATGCCTCATAATTTTATCTAATTTTTAAAATGCTAAACTATAAAATTAATTTTTTTCTTTCACTGACCAAAATGTACATATGCTGAGGTTTTAAGCTTCTTTTTAGATTTTCTGATATTATCTTTCCTTCTCCTTGCCTTCTCCTCTACCCTCTCTTTCTCCCCATATCCCTCCCTCTCTTTTTCTCTCTCCCTTTCTCCTTCTGTCCATCTTTAGCCCCTCATCTCCCCACTTATCCCTCCATCCTGTCTTTCCCCATCTCTCCTGCTTTGCTGGTACCATCAGCTTAAACTTAGTCTGACTTCTGGATGAGCCAGCATTGGTAGGCTCCAGAGAGGAGAGGTCCAGGAAGTAGAGGAGAAGGACAGATCTCTACAATAAGTGCATCTCCAGAAGTGGGGTTATAGAAAAGTCCCCCCATTCCTTTGTTAGGCTGTGAAGGTAGTTTCCTCAGCCCTGGTGAGGAAACTAAGGCAGCCTGGTGCCTTCACAAGGATTTAGTGAAATCAGAGCATTAAAATCATTAAACATATCTGCTGCTGACATTAGGGACCATATTGGGTCAACTTTATAAGGAAATCAAATATAAGGCCACTGACAAGGTGTAATCTGAAGGACACCAAAATGATGTATCTGACCAAGGGCATCTCTCCTAACAGAATAGTCTTGAATGGATTGTAGTCTTTCAAAATATCCTATGAAAATGCAAACACCCCCAAGAAAGATTTTTTAAAGCCTTACAAGTTAGTATTTCAGTAGGGCTTTACTTTCCCAATGTGACAGCTGATCAAGAGGAAAAGCCTCCTAAGTATGGAATAAGAAATAAAATGAGAAGGTTGTAAATTCCAAAAAGGGAGATGAGTGACAAATTTTGACTCTTGTGTGGGATAGACTCTGTTTCCAAACCATTACTAGGTCCTCTGGGTCCCGGCCTTATGAGTAAAGAGAATTTTTGATCAGCCTTCTAACTTCCAGAGAAATTGGGAACTCCTGCTGCCCCAGTGCCATATTATTGGGTGTTGTTGACAATGAAAAGTTTCAATCTGTACTAATCACATTATGGGTTAAATTTAAGAAAGTGTTGCAGAAAGTGTTGCGAGTTATAATGTAACCATAGGAATAATATGTTAAATAAAACACACACCAGGATGGGACTGCCCCCAAGGGGTGACTGGCCCTTGCTTCAGAGACCTATAGGGTAAACTGTCCCATTGACTCTTTTTCAGGGTGGGAAAAGGGAGGGACAGAAGCTGGAGTTGCTTAAAGATGCAGCCCAGCCAGCTTAGGGAAGGAAGACCCTGGCAGAGACCTAAAACGTTTAGTTTGTGTATTTGCAGACAAAAGAAAATTATGAGCCAGTGGAATGTACAAAGTAGAACTGCATTTCATTCAACCTTTTCTTTCCTTTTCTCCCTAAGCTGACAATCAACATACGTAGCTTATTAACATAACTGAGACTGAATATTTCCTTTCAGTGTGTAGTCTTTTTATATCTGTTAAATGAGCATATTTGTCTCTTTTCTCCCTGAAATACTCATTTGCACAGTTAACAAAACCTCATTTACTTAAAATATTTTCATGACTATTCTAAAGGATCCATACATTCCATAATGTTGTGAATGTGTGAAGAAGAATTAAAATGTAGGGGAAACATGATGAAAATTTGGATGTGATTACTTTCTTATTCTTACTTTCCTATTCTCACTTGACTAATTCAGGATACTAAAACCGTTTTAGGCATTTTGACAAAAGTCTGTGTAGCTCCCTTTTCCACCCAGAAAATAATAATTCTCTATATTTAGGCAGTTTGAACTTGTACTTAAGGACGGTGAATTTGGTCTTTGCTCTTTAGTGTAGGAGGTTGGGGAAAGAAAGGTTTCTGTGTTTATATACTGAATAAATATTCCTGTAGGTAAGGCACTTTTCAGTGCTTTAGTCCATGAACTTTTTAAACATCTATCTTGGCTGCTTCACAGTTCCAATCTTAATCTTCTAATCTTCCTGCTCAGGTGCCTCCAGTCCTGATTCTAGAGTACTATTTGGTAAACCAAACCATCCATAACCCAGTAAGGAAGAAAAGATAAAAGTTCCCAAGTTATAAAAAAATCAATGCTGTAAAATCGATGCACTGTAGATTTCTTTGTATGAGACCCCTTTCTCAGCCTCTACACAACTAGCATGTTTACCTATTCAGTTTCCCAATTCGCAGATGATTAAAAAGAATAACTTAAAATGAGATTACTGCTGCTACAGCTTATTATTATTATTATCATTAACCTTTATTTGGTGTTATTAGCTGCCAGACTCTGTGCTAAGCCTTTTTTCACACATTATTTCACTGAATGTTTGACAACCCTATAAAGTCAAATAATATTAATAGCTTCATTTTACAGTTTCATAAACTAAGGTTTAGATTCTAATTATCAGAAAGATGAAGTAATTTGCCAAATTTGTATAGAGTAAGTATAGACAGGCAAATAGGTAATAACATGACGGGCTATGTTACAACTTGATTGCAAAAGAGTAGAAAAATATAAAGGAAAAGAAAATATAAGAAGTTGGGAAGCATAGCAATTTGGAAGTTTTTAATTTGAAGACAGACAACTTTGTACCTCTCAGTAGCTTTCAGAGGGCAACACTGTGTTACAACAGTGTAAACTAGCTGGTTTGTGTAAGTGGGAATCCAGACCATTAAAACTGGATTAAATTATATACAAAATCATTTCTTAAGAATGGATGAAGAGGTATAACATATGCTATAAATATTTCTGCTATTTATTAAATTTCAACTTGATGTCCAGTATCGAAACTTCAAACTCATTGATACAGAAATTGCTAAGCGTTAGGAAAGAGTTTCAATTAATAGTTGTTCCCTAACTAAGCCCGTTACAAATTCAGATGTTGGGAGTTCTCTTCTCTTTCCATATAAAATAAATGTTAACTGTGTGTTTTGGCTTCTTGGAGGGCAGGAAGGCTTCAGCTATCTGAAAACTTCACATAAATAGAATATATCATCCCTGATGATGGTGGTATTTTTATATGTGTTGTTTTTCTAGAAAAATAAAAATTTGGAAGTTAAGGAAAGAATAAACTCGATTTACAAAAGATTTTGTTTTTACTTTCAAAGCTTCTGCATTCAGATTCAGGTAGCCCAGTCTGTCAATTTGCTATGTTTTGGGCCTATTCCATCACTAGGGTTTATCCCATTATGCTGACTAATGCAAAACTGACCATTTGTAAAGGAGACATGGGACCATGGTTGACATGATGCGTGATTTGAAATGGCCAGATAGAATCCTCAACCCCACTCCTCACTTGGATAAAAATAGTTGCCCCTAAGCCTTGCCTAAAATGGCCACATAGCCCATACCCAAGGCATAACTGTGATCTGGCATGAGAAGAGAAAGTGAGATTCTGAGTAAGGTCACTTCCCAAGAGACCAGTCTTTAGTGGATGTCCTGAGTGCTACTTGGAGCACCTGATCAGTTCAGGGAAGCATGAGATCCTTGGTCCAGGACATTCAGAAAGAGCCAGCGACTCTGTAAGACTGTTATAAGTACCCACCAACACAGTTGGTCTCCCTGACATTTGTACCCTTTTATACCTTTTCTAGATCTGTCCATGGTAAATTTTCCAAGAAAACATTGCAAGGAAAAACTCTAGGGGCTGAATAGGTAGTAAGCAAGGGAAGGGGCTGAGGATTTGCAGGCTGTTCCCTGAGTGAGAAGTAAACAAATGGCCCAATTTGGACAGAGTTAGAGTAGGTTACATGAGACAGACATAAAAAATCACATCCCAAACCACTGTGGTCATTCAAAAATGTTTGCAACTTTTCACAAGGGCAGTGGTATTACTCCCAATTTCCTGGCCAAATATTCATTAAAGTAACCAAGGACTGAGTACATGAAGCTGCTTCACATCAGCACAGCATCCTACTTTCCTTGCAGCTCTGAACTATGAGGTACTGTCAAAAAAACTCTTCCACACTTTAAAAAGCTATGTTACTGAGGAGAGTTGGAATGTGTTCTGGGAGTGGGTGTGTTTGCTTGAGTTCAGTGTGTGCAGAAAAGGCAAGCCTCCACAGCCATTTACACATTTCCCTCCTCAGTGATGGGTACACAGACAGCCAAGCTCCTGGACTAAGTCTCTGAATGGTAACGTACATTTATAAAGATTATTTTCTTAACTATTTTGAGGCATTTTTATAAATAATATGCATGTGTCTGCTGAGGGCATATATATATATTTAGTCAACTTTTGCTTGTTTTCTCCTGAGGCTAGTCTTGTGTGGTTACTTATGTGGTATGATTTCTGAGGTGTCAGAAAGAGCTCCCTCCTACTTCCCACCACCCTAGTCACCCAAAAATATCTCTTGGGTTGGCCCACCGCAGAGTCTAAAATTCCCACATTGCTCAAACATTTGAGTTAGTCACTGAAAGCAGCTTTTAAATTCCAAATGTTACATTGGAATATTAGGCAGGTATTCAAAATTAAAGACTATATAAAACAGAAAATAATGTGGAATAGTTGCTTTTGATATAATGTTAAGTTTCAAAGGATAAATGCAAAATGACATGCACAGTCTGGGATAGGTGCTGTTCTTAAAATGTCATGGAGTCAGATCCAGCATATATACCCCAGCTCATGAACATAAGCTTATGGTAAAAGAAACCCAGTGTTGTTGGGCAGATTTTGTTTTGATTTATGTTGAATGTATGCTTTCCACAGTTTCTGATCCTCAGCTCCCACTCTCTTCGCAGTGTATCTGACACTTCCCCTTACTGAGCTCCGGAGGCTCCTTCTTGCTGAGCTCCGGAGGTTCCCAGTGACCTCTTGATAATCAGCCTTGGTGGGGCCTAAATCCCCACCCCTTGGAAAACTCACTGAGCCTGACATCTGCCTGTAAGCAGCTTTCAGGAAAGATCTCACAAACGCCCACCCAATCTCTCTTGGTAGCAAACTGTCAAATCATGCCCATTTCCTCAAAAGATGGTGGAGGACTTAGCAGCCTCCTATGTTGCTCTGAAATTGGAGAATGAAATTCTGCAGGCTCAAGTGCAGCGGCTGATGGAAGAAAATGCTACCCTCCGGGCCCAGATCTCAGAGCTTCAGAAGTCCCAAGCAGCCAAGGAGGATGATCTACTCCGAAAGTCCTCAGAGGCCAAGGAGCCCCAGAAGCTCCCAGAGCACACGAATCCCCCAGCAGCCTGGGAGTCCCAAAAGACCCCAGAGTTCAAGGAGCCCCAGAAGCCACCAGAGCCACAGGAACTTCCACCCTGGGAACCCCCAGCAGCCTGGGAGCTCCAGGAGGCCCCAGCAGCCCCAGAGTCCCTGGAGCCTCCCGCAACCCAGGAGTCCCAGAAACCTCCAATGGCCCATGAGATCCCAGCAGTCTTGGAGGGCCAGGGGTCTGCAGACACCCAGGATTCCACATCAGCCCAAGAGCCCGAGAATTCAGAACCCCAGGATCCCCCAAATATTGAGAAGCCCCAGGAGGCAACAAAATGCCAGGAGACTGCAGCACAGCTAGAGTTCCGTGAGCTTCCACCTCCCCAGGATCTTCTGAAGCCTTCAAATGCCCAGGAATTCCTAGAACTCTCAGCAACCCAGGAGTCCCTGGAGAGTCTAATAGTTGTGGAGACATTGGCAGCTCCAGAGTTTCCACAGGCCCCTATTGGGTTAGAGGCTACAGCTTTCCCCCTGGAATACCCTTTAACTTTCGATGGAGATTCCCAGAAGCTTCCCGAGTTCCTGGTTCAACTGAATAGTTACATGAGAGTCAAAGGGCACCTGTGTACCACTGAGGCAGCCCTGGTGAGCTTTGTTGGCAATTGCTTCTCAGATAAGGCAGGATGGTGGTTCTAGCTCTTACTGGATATCCAAAGCCTCTTACCGGGTCAATGTGAAAATTTCATACATGTGCTCCAGGATACTTTTGATAATCCCAAAAACATGGAAGATGCCAACCAGTGCATCTGTCAACTCTGCCAAGGGGAGGGTCATGTAACAACCCACTTCCACCTCGTTGCTCAAGAGCTGAACTGGGATGAAAACACTCTCTGCATTCAATTTAAAGAAGGGCTTGCCAGTTCTATACGAGATTAACTGTTTCACACAAACCCAGCCACCAACCTATCTGATCTCATCACTCAGTGCATCGACCTAGAAGAGAAGCCTGATCCCAATCCATTAGGGAAAAGTTCCTCTGCAGAGGGAGATGGGCCTGAGAGTCCACCAGATGAAAACCAACCTATGCAAGCTGCAATCAACTGTCCACACAACAGTGAAGCTGAATGGGCCCATTGGCGCAAAGGCCACTTATGCCTCTACTGTGGTTATCCTGGTCATTTTGCCAGAGATTGCCCTGTCAAGTCTCATCAAGCCCTGCAGGCAGGAAACATTGAGGTCTGCCAGTAAGGGGGACCCCAGGAGGGCCAATCTACAAATATGCGTCCCCCTCTCTTCCAATATCCATGTCTCATACACTATAGCTTACTGTTGAAATTCGACTGAGCTCTGAAAGGAAGACAACAATTCTTTGAGCAAGCAATGGTAGATTCAGGCTCCTACAGAAACAGCATTGATCAGGCTGTGGTTCTTCGAGAGAAGCTGCCCATCGCAGTCATATCTTCCCTCTGATGCTGGAAACTGTCGACGGCCGTCCACTTATTAATGGGCCCATAAATAAGGAAACATCACCTGTCAAAGTTAAAATTGGAAACCATGTAGTAGAGCTCCAGTTTGACATTATTCATGCACCACAATATCCTCTGAATCTTGGAATCCATTGGCTTGAGACACATGACCCAAACGTAGAATGGAGTACCCGCCTTGTGCCCTTTCCATCACGTTATTGCTTTGCTTTGCTACAATTGCTACAACTGCTACATTCCTATGCTTTGCTACAATTGCTTCAGGCACAAGTGGAATAGAAGAAATCTTGATGAAATAATTGCTGGCTAGATCCTGCGTCCTAGTGATTGTTCCTGGAACCCTGTCTTCTGTTACCTCAGCTGTCATCAGCATTTACTGCTCCCTGAATATTCTACTGAACCTCTTGCTGTGTTCTAAGGCTACCTGTACAACGACTCTGCCTCTTAGATGATAGACTGAACCTGATGACTTTGAGCTGCTTTTTTTTTTTTCACTAACTCTGCATGCCTCTATCTCAGAACCCTACATTCTGTGGAACTGTTTAAATTACAATTTATACTAACAATACACATGAGAATAGATGTTAGAAACTAATAATGAAAAAGCATAGCTGTTAAACTGACTTGATTTTTTTCTTATCAATATTTTCTATATCATAAAATTGCAACATCTTTTACACAAAGAAAATAAGTTTGTAAGTGATATTTTTTAAAGAATCAATAAATATTAGCAATTTCTACTTGTGTTTGAATTATTTCTTGGCTTAGCTAGAGGAAGAGATAACAAACTAGTAAATTGGGAGGGAGAGAGGGAAATGGAAAATGTTCAAAGTTTAGGGAGGCTCCTAAACATTCCAGGTATAGTGACAGGTCTGCAGATGATGGAGAAATGATGTAAAGGGTAAGATGGAGAGAATAGGGAATGGTTAGGGCTGAAAGTGAGAGTAGGGAATGGTTAGGGCTGAAAGTGAGTGAGGTATGGACGTATTAGGGAAAAGGTAGAGGTAAGATTGAGAAGAGGGTTTTGGGGAGATTAGGAGGAGGTTGAAGAGAGTTTAGAGGAGGATTGGGGTGCTGAAGAGAGGAGTTACGAGAGGGGGGAATTTCTACAAAAATAAAAAGAGCACTGACAAAGACATTGAACAGCTTTGAAGGCAAATGTCTTGGACTTCACAAGTTAACCAAACAAAGAAGTGCATTGGAGCAGGTAATGAGACCACTTCAGTGACCCAGCCCTTCCAGTAAAGTAACAAATTCTTTTTCCCTGCAGCAGGCAAATTTTTCCTAGAACTACAGATTAATCTGCTCTTGCCAATGCACAGAAGGGTGGAAGGAATCAGCTTTTAACCCATGAAGAGTGTTAGTGGCCAACTGTTCCTCTCCTATACATACAAGTTACCCTGCACTGCTTAACCATGCTACTTGCATGACACACATGGAGAGCCAAGCCAAGGAAAGGAACTTATGTCCTTGCATGCCCGAGAGGGACTACTGCCTTGACTTAAACACACACATATCACACACACATAAACACACATACACACACACCAGGGTCCACGGGATGGAAGAGGTAGAAGCTCCAGGTGAGGTGTGAGGAGTGTTCTAAGAAGAACCTAATGCTTTTCCTCTGTGTTTTCAACTTTCCCTTGGGAGCCTCTTGCACTGAGGTTGCTAAAAGTGGACTCTTTCCCTTATTTAGACAAATGTAGACAAAACAGCAAATAAATGATTATAACCCTAGAAGGTAATGGGGAGGGGCTTACCATTCATTGGGCCACTAATATGTTCAGCTACAATGTCAGGCATTTAACACACATTAATCATCTCATTACTCCTCAGAACAATCCAGTAAAGCAGTTTGCTCCTGTTTTGGCAATGAGCAAACAGAATCCAAGCAAGGCTAATTCACTTGCCCAAAGCCACACAGCTAGTAAGTGATGAAGACCTGTTTGGCCTCCAAAGCCTTTGCCCTTTTCCCTACAGCATGCCAACCTCCCTAATGCAGTGGTAAGGGTCAAACAAAATTATGGCAGCAGAGACCTAAGTGGCTCCCTTACATTTTCCCCTAAAAATGAGGGGAAAACTCAAAACAAAAGTTTCTAAAGAGTTTGGCTAATAGTTCAATTTCCTATGCTTTGCTAGCACTTCCATTTCCCTGGTTCCTTTATTCTACTGCTAACCCTGTCATCACCCACCAAACTTCCTTTATCATTTCTTGGAAATTTTTCTTTTGTATACCTAATGTCTCAGACCTCTTTCAGATTCCAAGGTGTTTTTAATGAGAGTTGGTGGTCCAGAACAGTTATTTACAGGACCTGTGCATTACATAGCAGCACCACCCCTTGGATTGTCTACCTAACACTTCCATAACCCATCCAAATCCTCTGCAGCCTTAAATTCCACCTCTTCTAGTCCTCACTGGCCTTCCCTTCCTTTCCTGAACAATCAAATGTACTTTGGCTCTATAATTGTTTTGTGATATGTGGAGGATCTTTCCCTAGGTACACGTCTTGTACTCCCCCCACCCTTCCACCCACTTAGCTTAGGTGAAGGAACAGAACGATCTACATCCCTACCCTGGACAGCTAAGTGTAACACAGTGTCTTATACATAAAAGGTTTGACATAGTGCCTGATTCTATGACATTTAATTATCAGAGAAAGGGGCTTATTTGTATACTTTATATAGGCTCTTCTTGCATTTTCTCCTACTCAGTTGCTCATCTTTATTCCTAAAACCAAACACTATTTGTCAATGTGGAATTAAAGACAGAGAGAGAAAAAAAAAACCCTTAAGCAACCATAAAGAAAAATGCCTCTTATTGGTCAAATTACCCTGGACCTAGGAAGATCAACTGTGTCTGGTTTCCCTGAGACTGAGAGGAGTCATGGGACATAGCGCTTTCTGCACCAAATCTGGGACTGTACTAGGCAAACTGAGATGACTGGTCAACCTACCTGGACCCTACATTTTTCTATCTGGCTACAGAGGCTTATTTAATTAGAGTACAATTCTTTATTTCACAAACAGGAATAATTATCTAATCACAGAATCACAGATGCTGTAGGTTGAAAAAGATTCAATAAGCCCCCGTCTTAATTTTACAGATTAATGAGCTAAGGACCAGAGAAAGGAAAGTGACTTAACAAAGCTCAGTGTATCCATACCTATTGTTTTCAAATCCTTTGCTCTCTTTTCACCGTGATCCACAATTCTAACCCAACAGTTAAAAATCAAGTCTGTGGCTACCATTCAGTTAGGCACTGTGGACAGTGTTTAAAGTATAACATGAGAGGTTTAAATGTGGTCAAGAACAGAAAAATTAGCAGGCATTACACAGCTAGTATAGGTAGCCAAATGCTAAGTTCTGTGATGGCAATCAATATACTAAACTGAAACATACCAGCTGATGAGACTAATAAAAATTTCCATTTAGTGAGCACCTGCTTTTTGTCGGATATTGTGTTGGGCCATTTAGGTCTTTTCAACTGTCTGCAAAGTAGATATTGTTAGACCCATTATACAAATCAAATGATTGTAGTCCACTGAAGTGAGGTTACTTGTCAGAGGTCACACTGCTAGGAACTGATAGATTCTAAATACAAACTCTGATCTGTCTCATTCCAAAGGTGAAGTGTCATCCAATGTACCACACTGCTTCTCAGTATGAATGACCTTTACTCTATTAACCACCTTAATAATATTGATTCACTAGACATGAGTACTAGTACGCTAGAAAGGATTTTAATTTGTTAAATTATTCATTACTTTACTGACTCAACAAGCATTTATGGAATGCCTTCTATACATCAGACACAGGCAGGAGAGAAGAGGAGGGAAAAGAGAGAGACACAAAGGAAAAAATATAACTACAGCATGATTCATTGTTTTTGCTTTCACCACAATTTAAAAGGGGAAGCTGTTGGGTAGTGCAGCACTGTGACATATAAAGGAGAGAGCACTAATTCTCCTTGAACTGAAATGGTGTGTTTTGAGCTGGTTCCTGGAGAAACCTCATTGGAAGCAAGAGGAAGGGCAGGGCTTCCTAAGTTGAGTATGGTGCAAACGAAAAATCAAGCTGGAGGGAAAAAGCAAGGTGTCTTCAGAAATGATAATTCTATGTCACTGGAGAGTAAAGATGTGTGTGTGTGTGTGTGTGTGTGTGTGTGTGTGTGTGTGTGTGTGTGTGTGTGTGGAGGGTGAAGGTGGGGAGATGAAGCTTTAGGTTAAAGACATTATCTACCTATTAATAGCTAAGGAGTTCAAACTTTATCCTGTGAGTGATTTAGACTAAGGCATTTTTCTTTCTTTTTTTCCGTTGTAGATATGATTGTATTTTTCTCTCCTGCTATGAAATACTGCACAATTATTTCAATAAATTTATATGTATCAGGAGTTTATAACATAAAAATTGGAGGTTGGCCCCTTTCTCTATCTCACAAACTCAGAGTAGGAAAGAAACCTGATTAGTTTGTATTTTAATAATTTTATGAGAATATAGAAAATGATAAAAAAAAAAGTGAGTGACAAAGTGTGCCTATTCTTTTTATCTTCTTAGATTTGATGAAGTTGAATTCAAACCATCAAAAGAAAAATACTAAAAATAAATTAAACTCAACTTTCATCAAGTATTTATTTTGAGGGCTTACTGTAAGCAAGGCACTGAAGTAAACATAAACATATTCAGGACAACATTCCTACCATCAATTATTTTACAATCTAATAATGGACAAAGGATCATGAATAATGAGAAACTACCGTTTCATTTGGACCTCATCAGTTTCA